AATAAATAAGGAAAGGCTGCCCCCTGCTGCCCAAGATGATGAATGAAGATGATGAATGATCCCACCTGCCTAACTCCTCCTACAAGAGAAAAAAAGAAAAGCTGCGCCTGTTTCTGGGCATATCGACAGTGTGACTGAGTAGCAAAGATGGGACAAACTCCATCAGAATTGAAAGTAGCTGCGACACCAAGACAGAGTGGTATTCTTTGTAAGGCCAGTTGGGTTGAGGGGTGGTCGAAAGGAAACTTCCTTAGAGAGTAAATTGCTGATAAACAAAAGGGGTAAACGGGACAGGAAAATATGTGGACATAGATCAAAATAAATCATTACATTGATGAGAGTGTTCCTCAAGGTGGGAAAGGACTAAAGAAGAAGCTTGCCACTTTCCACTTGTTGAAAGCAATCAATGACCCTTTATCCAGGCAATGGCAGAGTGTTGTGAGATCCTTCACTATTCCTGAGTAAAATGCACAGACTATCTCTCTTTTTCTTTTTTCCCTAAATTCCAGGAGCCACATTGTTGCACCCAGCCCGTGGCACCACCAGATAGCGTTCTGACGTTCTCCGTGGCTGACACCTGCCCGAGGGGCAAGCAGTGGGTCCCAAGCCCCATGCTGAAATGGAAATACCCAGGGTAATTTTGTGCTTGATTGTTTATTTAAATGCATATCAATAAACCCACTACTAGTGATTTTTAATGCAAAAGATCCTGAGGACTACTCAGAAATATGCATTTTTCACAAGCTTCCTGAATGATTGCAGACCCCGATAAGCAAAGTCAGGACCATAACACATCTTCTTACATAAACTGATCTTCTTTGGAAAAATAATGACTTTGTAAATGAAACAAGTAGGTTTTTTTAAGTAGCCCATTTCAAAATATTACTTAAAGCAATACTTTGTTGGTATTTTCTTGAAAATTTTTATTAAGTTTTATTTTAAATAGATAATATAGCTATATGGCTCAAAAATTGAAACAATAAAGTTGAAACTAAAAATGTTATTTTTACTTCTATCTTGTTTCCGTCTCCTCCACTCAGTCTTAGTAAGCAATCACCTTGATCAAGTTCTTTTGTATCCTTCTAGTGTGTCTTTGTGCAGAACCAAGCAAATAAATGTATAATTCTTATGCTCCCCCTTTGCCGGAGAAAAGGTGGTGTACAGAAATGCTAATCTGCAGCTTGCTTTTCTTCCAGTTAACAGTATATCTTACCTTCCCACAGCAGGGAAACATTTGTGTTCTTTTTTAACATTGCATAATATTTCATTTTGTGGATGTATCCCAGGTGATTTATCCAGTCCCTTCCTGATTGGGTACTTGAGTTTTCCTGATCTTTTTGCTACCCCAGATAATGCAAATATTTTACATTTTTTTACTTGTATGCAAGAATAATTATAGGATAAACACCCAGATGAGGGATTTCCAGGTGAAAAGGTAAATGCATTTGTAATTTTCATAGATATTTCCAAATTGGTCTCCACTTAGGTTGTATCATTTTTTGTGAAGTGTATATTCCACCACACAATAGCTAATGGTCTTCCCTAATTCAATGTTGTCAATCACATTGGTGAACAGATATTTTAATGCAGTTTTTGTCTGCAAGATTTTTTCCCTATGGTGAAGCACCGTTTGCATTTCTTTTTCTCTCAACCATCTGTTCTTTGCCACTTTCGTTGTGCTGCTGGATTATTTCCTTACTGATTTCTAGGAGTTCATCATCTACTGGGGAGATCAGCCCTTAGGATGAGGATTGCAGATGTTCTTTCCATATTGTCATTTCTTTTCTGATTCTGTGTATATTTTTCCGTGAAAGTGTGTCATCATTATGTAATGAAGTCTGTCTTTTTTTTTTTCCTTCTAGATTTTAAGTTATAGTTTGAAAGGCAATAAAAGGAAGCACCATCGAGTGAAATAAGATTTAGGCCACTCAACTGGAGGTTACATTTCAAGGTCATCTTGTGCAGGAAAATAAAACATCGACAGCATCTTAAATGTGTCTGCCCCTCAGGGAAAAGAGGGGAAGGCGGTGACCGTGATTACATTTGAGTGTTCCTGTGACTTTATGTATGCAGCTCTCCACATCCACTTCCCCAGCTCCCTTTTCCTAACCCTGATGTCTGAAGTCCACGAGCAGAGAGGCGGGCTGACAACACACCAGTCCCTCCACACCAGCAGCCCCTTGGAAATACTCTGAGCTCTCAGCTGTCGTTTTGTCTCTATCTAGGGAGCCCTACCCCTGAGTAGCTCATGTCAGTTCCCCTCCAGACCACCCTAGAGGTCCAGAGTTGGCCAAAGGGACGGTCTGAGTATTGAAGGATCCCATTCCCAGATGAAAGTTGTGGCCTCTGAGTGACAGTCTCAGGGGCAGGCCCTGGGTAGAAAGGGGGCTGCTTCTTCTTGGGAGGGTGTCTCCCCACAACGAGTGATGAGTTTACAGAGGGGCGGATACCAGGGAAAACTAGCCCTTGTGCCAACTGGCCTCGCAAAGACACACAGCTCTGGGGAGCCAAGAGTGTCCTGAAGAAAGGGCATGGGGGTGAGGAGGGCGCCCCCGCTCCCGGCCTCACCTGTACCCTGCCACCACCTCACAACATGGGGAGTGATGTCACGGACCTGCCCTCCAATGCCCTGGAAGGAGCACCTGCTCGGGTGGTTTCTTCCAGACTCTGACAGGCAGAACCATGGGAGGGGTCGTTTTTTGTACAAAGCTGTAACATTGTGGGGACAGGGAGCCACGGTGATTCAACTCTATGAGAAAGCTTTACAAAAACCTTTCTGCCTGTCCCGAACCCCAGTTTCTCCACCCTTCTGAGTCATGGGCCCAAGGGTGGTGAGAGTCAGAATGCCTCCATCCCACCCCTATTCACCTGTCAAGCCAAGACCATGGATAAAGACAGGCTTAGATCAGGACTGAAGCTTGCAGACAGAGAGCCCAGGTGTAAGAAGAAGGCCTCAGTGGCCCCTCAGGTGAAGGACTCTGGGAAACTCCTTCATCCTAAGCCCCACAGAACTCATGGCAAGGTCAGTGGGAAGGTGCATGGAAGGTGACCCATCCTATAGAGGAAGAAGCCAGAAATATCCCGGCCCTCCATGGACCTGGTCACTGTCTCCAGGACCCTGCCCTCTTCTCTCTCGACCCATGTCCTTTTGATGGACCTTCAGAAAGAATTGAGAAAGTAGTGTGGGGCCCACTGGATAGATGCTGGCCATGCTCTGTGGCCCCAAGAGTTATTCTTCTGTGCAATATCTATAAAGCACAGGAGGGATTTCTTATACCAGAGTCCTCCAGAGACCAACCAGGGCCCCCTCTTCTTTCCATGCCTCAAATTTGTTTGCTTCCTTGCTCCATGTCACTGTGTGAATACTGAACTTTTCTTTGGAGAAGGCACCAGGCTCACAGTAATAGGTAAGACATACGCTGGCTCTTTCCAGGCCCCTTGTAGGTGAAAGTAGGTCCAAAGCGTCCGTTTTTAGAGTGATCGTATGCTGATGTGTATGATTTTACCTTCGGCCCAGGGACCAAGCTGACAGTTGTCGGTAAGGTGGGGGGGTCTCCAGGGAGGGTGTGATGGGGAGGATTCTATCCTGGGAGATGGGGGAGGGAAGGGATTGCCCAGGTCTTGGATCCTGGTTAAGGAGATGTCATCTCCTTTTCTGGGAACCAGTACATGGGAGGGTCCCGGTCAGGGCAAATCCACCCAGCCACCGGGGGGTCCTCTGTAAACTCAGAGCTGAGCCTCAGTGGTTAAGCAGAGGAGGAAAAGGAGATGGTACTGCCCCTCTGAGTAGTTCTCTGACAGAGGGAAGCCTAGAGAAAGCCCAGAGGGCAATTAATGAGCATCGACATAGGTCTGTCTTCCTCACGGACTGGGACTCTCTGTAGGGGCTTCCTATCTTTCCTTGCTCTGGATTTCATAGGAAGCCACACTGTGTGGCTCCTTGTTTCCAACTGTCCAGGGATCTGGGCAAGCTCTGGAAGGGAGTGGGGAAAATATGAAGCAGGGCTGGTGGCTCTGGGAGGTAAGAGTTCCACGAATGCACCAATCTGTCCCCGAGTCCCAGCTGAAGACGGGGAGGTTTTGAAGTGGATCTGGGGGGCTGTGCTTTTGAAACACCCTCCATTTTGGGGAGGGGAGCCGGCTCACTGTTGTAGGTAAGTGCATCGGGGCAGAGGGCTGGGAACCCACAAGGAGGGGCAGGGGTCCATGTGTAGCCTCCATCTTGGAGGCTTAGGTTAAAGCACATTTTTATCAGAAAGCTCTGAATTCTTGTCTTGATGCAGACAGGCGGGGACAGCCTCCATCTCCAGTAATTTCATGGACAGGCTATGCTAAGTCCGTGTTCCCCTCCTGGGAGGCAGGTAGTCTCCCTTTGGGGTCTCCTTGTCCATCTCCTGTCTCCTCAGAGGGCACCCCATTATGGCCATGTAGATGGGAAGCCTCTGGCCTCAGAGCTGCCTTAGTCCTGATGTTTTCTGCCCCGGCTCAGAAAGGAGAGGGACACGGGAGAAAAAGCTGGGGGTCACACGGCTGAATCGGTCCTCTGACCGGGGCATTTCACACTGCACACTAGTCCCCTCTCCACACCTCCTGGTGCCAAAATTCTGCTAAGGAAAGGGAGAGGAGAGCGGGCAGGTGCACCTGGGAAGGCAGGAAAGGGAGAGGAGAGCGGGCAGGTGCACCTGGGAAGGCAGGAACTAGATGCAGCCAAGGGCAGTTTTTCCACCAGCCTGCAGTGTTGTGTAACAATGAAAAACTGTATTTCGCAAGTGGAACCAAGCTCTCTGTCTTGGGTAAGTACGAGGCTGCTCTGGGGGTAGTGTGTTGGAAGAGTGCAGTCCCAGGAGGATGCCTGAGACACAGCAGGGAAAAGGCTCAGAGAGTGTGGGTGAGCAGAGGAGGTGCTGAGCCCCTAGAAATTCGGGTGGAAGCTGGCTTCTGGAAGCAAAGGCCCCAGAGAGCAATCCTGGGGTTTGTCACTCTCTCACTGTGCTGTGGAGCAACCGGGCACAGCACTTTGGAGATGGCACTCAACTCTCTGTCCTAGGTAAGGAGCAGGACTGGGGTGTGGGGCCATTGTCCCTTGGACACAGGGTCCCCGTCTCTCCTCCCAGCCTTGGTTGTCGGTGGGGGGGGGGGGGAATCAAGTCAACTATCTTAGCCCTGGGGAGCTTCCAAGGAGCTGTGGCTGCCATTCCTCTTGGTGTGGATTGGTGGGTCCCTCTATTTCTTCTCCCTGAGTCTTCAGTCCTTAATGTTTCCTCCTTACTCTTTCCTTGGTTCAGCCTTCCTTCTTATGTGTGTGTCTGTGCCCCTTCTAAGCCTGCTCCTCTTTCCCCATAGTATGCTTGGACCTTTCTCCTAATGGGACTCCTCTGGTCCAGAGCCATGCATCCAGGAAGAGAGGGTGGTAGAGTGAGGACTTGCCCTCTGGCAGGAGCTTGCCATGGGTTTTACCACGGCTGCCTGCAGCTGTGTTCCTATAACTCGCCCCTCTACTTTGGGATGGGCACCAGGCTCACCGTGACAGGTATGGGGCTCTCTTGGCTGGGGGTGCCTATGCATGACCAATCAGTCCAGGAGGAGGGACGGGGGTGTAAGGATAGGGCTCAGAGCCGCCCCCTCCCTCCCAGAGCTTCTCGTGCTTATTGCGGACCCACGGGTGTAGGGCTCCAGCTTATTCTTTGGCTTTGTATGTTCTTGCTCTGCTTCTCATTGTTCTCTGGGACTCCTCTCATCTCTCCTATTTTAGGAGTCTGTTGTTTTACTCTCCCCCCCCTTTTTTTTTATTCAGATCTTCTCCATTTTCCCTCCTATTCTATCTCCAAGCCTTCACCATTGACTCCATTTTGGTGAGTTGGTCTGTCTTCTATGTTAAAGTCCTTCTAATATCTACCACCCACTCAGAACTCTGTGCTTGCCTTCGTGGTCCTCCTTCTCTGTCTCGACTAGCCTCCAAAGATTCATCTGTGTCTTCCTGAAGTGATCTAGGGCTCAGGAGGCAGTGGGGGGACAGAATGGTGAGACTGGGCTGGTTTGAGGGGTGTTTCATAGCCCTGAGGGCAGAAGTTCATGTCACAGTATCATGAGAGCTGCAATGGGTATCTGAGGGACACAGTGCTTGGCAGGATCAGAGGAGACACAACTGGAAACTTAAGCTATCTTCGTAACAGATAAGGTATAAAGAAGAGAAAATAGGCAGGAGGCCCCATTTTCTCAAACCTCAGGATCTATGCTGGGCTGGTAGGGTAAGGTGCCCATCACAAAACACTAACACACCATTAGCGTGCTCGGGGAGGAAGCAGACAGGCAGAGGATCGGGCATGGAAGGATGGGTCCGTGCTGGGCATAGAGACAAGGCCAGAGGAATGGGACACTTGGTCCTACCAGATTGGTTGGCTGGAACAGACTTTATCCTGCAGATGGGGGCTCATGCCAGCGAGTGTGATAACAGTTAGAAAGTACAAATTACTGGGGTTCGAAATGCCCAGAGCTCTGGGGCTCATGGGACAAGGCTGGGGGTGCTCGAGCAATTACAAAGTGGAAATCTCAGCATCTCTGGGATGTATAAAATGGGGATAATTGTGCCAGCTCCTTGGGGTGTTAAATTGTTAGGGGCTAACTTATATGGAAATCTTTGTAAAAGGCTCGGCTTATCGGGGCCATCCTTTTCGTTCCTGTTGTTTATCATCACTGTGTCCCAGACTTTGGCCTTTTTCCCAAACTGTCTCTCAGTGTTCCCATTAGAAACACATCCCAGTGTGGCTAAAGTGGAGACATCTGGGTTTCCCACAGTTCTGCTCCAAAAAGCCCTTCCTCTGGTCAATACAGACCCAAACAGAGGGCACAGTCCATTCCGGTAAAAAGATGGGAAGGTGAGAGATGGATGGGCTTTCTCTCATCCCTCTGTGTCTTCCCATGAGGACTTGCCTTCCAACAACTCCAGAAATTCTCTCCTATGTGCCAGGCATGAGAAATGGCCTAAGACTTTGCAACATGAGCACTCTGACAACATCGTCCTTGGACTTTGGAATTCGTTCATACCCAGCAAGTTCAGCCGTGAACTAGGATTTCCAAAGTTGGCAGGGAGCCTTGCTGGGCGCTGGAAGGAAAAAAGCGTTCAGCCCATGAGCAGTATCTTTCATGGGATTCCAGCCACCCTGGGCAAGCTACCACACACCCATGTGCCCCAGTGTAAATGGAATAAATGTGAAACATCTGATAACGTAATAGCCAGAGGCTTCTTGGCTCCTCAAAGCAGGTTACGTGTTTAACACACACACACACACACACACACACACAAGAAAAGGGGGAAAAGTGAGTTGGAAAAAGCATTTAGAAAAAAGTATAGTCGGATGCAATGGGACAGTGTTTCCTGCGGGCAACAAAGCCTAATTCTCACGTGTGCTACCACCCAAACAGATACTCAACACTTTATACAAAAGGAAACTGATAATTAGGCAAAGCGGATTGGGTTCCTGGGATCACGTTGCTGGTGAGAATCCTCAGCCTCAAATTCCAGGCTCACTCAACTCTACCACAGCTGCTTCTAAGTCTGAAAGAACAGTCACTCACCGAAGAGGGCTTTGAATGGGGAAGAAAAACAGACTCTTTTGATAGATACGGAGCAGGGCCTTGAGAAAGAGACTCTGCCAAGAAAGCCAAAGAAACCAGGACACGCTGCTGCCTTAGGGGATGGAAGAGATAGTCGGCAGTATGCATCCATGGGGTAACCGAGAGAAGTGGCAAAGCTGAGGGAGAATAGAACAGGACAGTGACCCCCAAATACACAGGATCTACTACTACATAATTCTGCTTAGGAGGACTACATTTCCAGCTTTATCTCTGTCTCTCTCTGTCTTTCTTTATTTCTGTCTCTGCCTCTCTCTCTCTCTCTCTCACACACACACACACACACACACACACACCAAACCCAGACAGCTCTCAGACCAGTCCTGGTCCCAACGTCTCTTCCCTTGCAGAGAACCTGGAAAAGGTCAAACCTCCCACGGTCACAGTGTTTGAACCATCAGAAGCAGAGATCTCCCGCACCCAGAAGGCCACACTCGTGTGCCTGGCCACGGGCTTCTACCCCGACCACGTGGAGCTGAGCTGGTGGGTGAACGGCAAGGAGGTCCAGAATGGGGTCAGCACAGACCCGCAGCCCTACAAGGAGCGGCCCAACGAGAATGACTCCAGCTACTGTCTGAGCAGCCGGCTGAGGGTGTCCTCTGCCTTCTGGCACAACCCTCGCAACTACTTCCGCTGCCAAGTCCAGTTCCACGGGCTCAGGGACGATGATGAGTGGGACAACGCCAGCCGGGCCAAACCCATCACCCAGAACATCAGTGACGAGATCCAGGGCAGAGCAGGTGAGCGGGGCCTGGGGGGCTGGGCGGGGAGTGAGTGAGAGCACAGAAAGGGGCGATCCAGGCAGAAGACCAGGCGGACACAGGACAGGGAGGGAAGACTAAAGCCCAGCATGAGGGTGAACGGGCACCTCGGGGCTAATTCCTCCCCAGATCCTCAGCCCAGCAGAGCCTTGCAGCTGGGGTCCCCTCACTGTCTGAGCCTGTATGGCTCAGCGCCGAGGGGGGCGCCCCCAGCCCTCTGTGCCACCCCGTTCCATGGGGTTCCGGGACGGTGCAGCTCTGCGGGCACAGCACCAGAAAGACCGTCTAGGCGTCTGCGAGAAGCCTGGTCTGAGCCTGGGGGTCCGTGCTAACCCGGAGGCTGACCTCGTGTGTTTGTGTGTGTGTTTGGTTGGTTCTTCACCGAACCACAGCTGACAATAGTGTTGCCTTAGCGTCAGGTGTGCCAACTCGGCAGCTTTCCGTCTGCTTTAGGAGACGGGGTCTCTCATCCATTCCCTCCCCCTTCTGTCTTTCAGACTGTGGCTTCACTTCGGGTACGTGACCCTCTCCTCTGCTTGGTCTCCGTCTCCCGTGGTTTTGTCCTGGAAGGCGAGCATGGAGAACCATGGGCCCCGGGGTGGGGGGTGGAGAGGCCAGAGACACCTGCTCACAGGTCCCTGTGCGCTCTCCCTTCCCGCCCGCAGTGTCCTATCAGCAGGGCATCCTGTCTGCCACCATCCTCTATGAGATCCTGCTGGGGAAGGCCACCCTGTATGCCGTGCTGGTCAGCGCCCTGGTGCTGATGGCCAAGGTAAGGAGGCGGGCAGGACGGGGCCCTGGAGGGGACACTTGAAACATAACAACTCAGAGCTGGGAGTAGCAAGAGACCTAGCTAGGGCCAGCAGTGGGCAGTAGAAGAAGATGGAGTTCCACCCACATGCCTCAGAAGACACACTGTACCTCTGGGATCACAGTGGGAGAGCCAGGCAGAGAAGAAGCTGGGGTCACCTGAAAACCCAATGGACATTGTAAAGAGAACTACCATTCATCTTGTCAGCGGACCATCCTACTTCCTCTCCATTCCCATCACTCCTGACTCCTGCTAACTCCTGAAACCTTCTCTTCTTCAGGTCAAGAGAAAGGGTTCCTGAAACTAGCTCAGAGGCAGAGCCAGGACTTTCCAGCTTCTATTGCCCCAGTATGGATTCTCCTTTCTCCACTTCCAGCCAGTGCTTCTCAAGAGCTGTTTTCATCTCTCTGCTCACCCCAATAGCTACCCCCTATGTTCGTGCACACCTGGACGCTCATGACCCAAATCTCCCTAACCCAGGGGGGACCCTAGCCTGACTAAATTGACTGAATCAATAAAAATGGCCTGTTCTGGCTTGACTCTGCCTTGTGATGTCTGGATATCTCTTCTGCCCATGGCTGACCTCCCATGTGACTCCAGTCAGGATAGAAACAAAAGATATTCAAGGAAAGAGCAGGTCCCTCCGGTACCAGGGCTGAGGGACCCAGCCTGGGGTGACCCCGCTCCTCTCTGTCAGGGGAAGTTTAGTAGATGCAAACGGGGGTGCTGGGATTGAAGAGGCTTACTCAGGAATAGCCCAGAAAAAATGGTGACATTTCCTATAAGAACTTTCTGTCCTACCTGGACGAAGGTGCTCTGAGGAAGAGTCCACCTACACAGGTGTGTCTCCCGCCAACTGGTCATGTACCCGTGGCTGGATGGCTCAGTCAGTTAAGCGTCTACCTTCGGCTCAGGTCATGATCCTAGGATCCTGGGATCAAGCCCCACATCGGGCTCCCTGCTCAGCGGGGAGCCTGCTTCTCCCTCTGACCCTCCCCCCTCTCATGCTCTCCCTCTCTCTGTAATAAATAAAATCTTAAAAAAAAAAAAAGAAGCTTGCTTTCATACCTATCACCCCGTTCATTTCAGCTGTCTCCCTGAGTACACTACCGTTTTCACTTGTCACCAAGCAGCCTTCCCGGCCGAGAAGAGAAGGCGCTGACTTGGCGATGGATTCTCAAGTAGCACATGTGTCTTCCAGTTTAAGTCACAGATCTGTTTATAAGTTTCTCTCTAGTGAATTACATGGGTGTGAAAATGTGCCCTGATCACTCCTGGAAGGATAGAAAATAAAGGTCGCCAAAACCAAGAATCAGCCCTATTGCTATTTCTAGAAATCCTCTAAGAGCATTTCAGTTGTCTCATTGTCACCGTGGTGATGCGGGGCAGTCCTGAGGATGGCTTCTAGGCAGTGGTCCTCTGTTTCCTCGCTCCATGCATACCCCGCTCCTCTTACCCTGCATCCCAGAGCCACCTGCTCTCAGACTATTCTGCACTCCATCACCTGGAGGCACATAGCACTCCAACTCCCACTTATTCTTGAAGATTTAGCCCCAACATCTTCCCCAGCAAGAAGCCTTCTCAGGCGCTTCCTTGTCTGAACTAGCCATCTACTCTCTCACTCACGGGACTGTAACACATGACTTTCTCTCTCCATTGCAATGCATGAGGCATTCACATGTGTGCACACTTCTACAGCATACACACGTGTATGTATATATATATTTACATACATGCGTGCGTGCACTAACCCACTCATCGAGCACACATCATTGCGATGTTCTGCTGGTCACCTTCAAGAAAATAAAGAGATCCGTGTGACAGTCCCCAGGGAGCCTACCTGTTCACGAGGGGGTCATTCATGAATAGAAACAGTGGAATTACAAAGTGATGCTTTCCAATAGCAATGTGAGCTGTCTACTAAAATGCAGTCAGAGGCTAGCACTCAGTTTCCGCCTGGGATCATCAGGGAAGAGTCTGAGAAGGTGGCAAACTCTTCAGAGAAAGAACTGGTCTAATTATCCCCGTGAGGCAGTGGTTGTGACAGTCAGAGACATGAACCAGAGCCGAAACAAAGAGGTCTGGTACTCGCGGGTGCTTAGCCGCGGACGAGGTTCCGAGATAGGAGGGATGAGACATTAGGCAGGCTGATGCGTGCTCCTCAGAGGGTGGACTCATGCCACCAGCATGAGGCCTGGCACATAAGGGATGTTCATGATGTGTGTGGGATACATGAAGGATAAGGAGCTTGGACTCTGTTCAGGGAGCAGTGGGGAATTATAGAGGTTGCTTGCCCCCATGCCCCCTGCTATCACCTGCTCTATGGAATCCACCCTTCAATCCTCCCATCCCACCTCACTATAAATGCCTGTCTGTGCAGGTGGGCACAGACAGTCCCAGAGGGGAGACCTGGTGACATAGAATGTTCTGCCATGGGGCCTCTCTCCCTGCCCCCACCCCATGAGCACCATGACCTTCCCCAGGCCCTCCCCACTTTAAATTACTCTGAGTTTGCTCCCAGCCCCAGTCAATCAAACCTCTGTCACCTGCACTTCCTGCCTCTGCCCAGTGGTTGGGGGAGGGGACCAGAGGGAAAGAAACATTTTGTATCCTGCTGTAACACTGTGGGAACTGGGGGGGTCACCATGATTCAGATAGAGGGGGTGCTTTTACAAAAAGCCCTGCCTCAGAAAATATCTCCATCCAGCTCAGGAAACACAGCTCCTGGATGGGGAGTGGCTGGGAGGTGTCTCTGGAGCTGGTCCCTGGGTCCCAGACAGCTTCCCAGGAACGTGAAGGGCCAATGCATCAAAATGGGATCATCATGACTGTTTTTGCCGTGTTTAAAAAAAAAAAAAAAAGGGATCATCATCCAGCACTTTTCACAAAAACTTGTCCTTGACAAAAGTACTTACACATGCGTTATTTATTAAGAACTCACAACAACACTGTGCAAAACATATTTACCCCATTTTTCAGATGAAGGAAATAAGGCCAGAGAGGTTGCAGGTCCTATAAGTAGTAAGAGACAGGGTCTAGCCTGGAACATCCCCCAACTCCAGCCCAAACCCCCATCACCAATCCCTGTTCATTTTCCACTTCCACTTGTCCCCAAGCCAAGTTGATTCTCATCTGCAAATTGGAGATGATCTCCCCTGGCATCTAGATTACTATGTCCAGCTAGCTCTGGAGGTGGGACAAGAGAAGCCCAGGAAGGAGGAGAGTGCACCCCCAGCTTGTGCCAAGGGAAGCGGGAAGGAGGAGAAATTCTTAGCAGCCCCTGCTCACTGTGCTAATACAGGGAGCAGCACTTTGGGCCAGGGACCCGGCTCACCGTACTAGGTAAGAAAGCCGCTCCCGGTGGGAAGGAGGGTGGGTTGCCCAGCTTGGACCATACCCAGGACCCTGGCCCTTAAGGAGTGGGTATTGGCCCCTCCTGGGCCCCTAGTCGGGACGGCGGGTTTGTGCCTGGGTCCCCAGAGCTGTGCAAACACGGGACAGCTGGACTTTGGGGCCGGTTCCAAGCTGACGGTGCTGGGTAAGTAGGTTAGCTGGGGCGCGAGCGCTCCGCGGGGTGGGATGGAGACAGGTGGGCAGCTGCCCGGCTTCTGGAGCTGTGCTAGAGTTGGGGCTCGGCGCCTGGTGCGGGACTCCCGGTTCTGGGTGCGGGGTGGCGAGGGAGCGGGTTGGCGGGAGAGGGCAGCGCCGGATTTTTGTGCTGGGGCTCCGGGCTGTGAGTACAGACCCTCAGTATTTCGGCAGGGGCACCCGGCTGACCGTGCTAGGTAAGCGGGGGTGCCCGGGGGCGCCGGGGAGCGCGGTGGGGCCAGGGGATGGCGGGCCTGTTTTTGTGCCGCCCCGGGGGGCTGTGAGCCAAAATACCCAGTACTTCGGCGCGGGGACGCGGCTGTCGGTGTTGGGTGAGCGCGGCGCGCGGCGCGGCGGGGTTCTTGGCTGGGGGCCCGGGGCCGTGCTTTACAGCCTCCGCCCTGACCTTCGGGGCGGGCAGCCGGCTGACCGTCGTGGGTGAGTGGCCGCGGGACCCGCCGCGAGTGCCGCGGGTCGGGAGGGAAGGCGGCGGCCCCAGGGCTCTTCCCGGCCCGGCCCCTGGTGGGCTTCCCGCGCTGGGGCCGGGCTGCGAGCGGGAGCGGGAAGCGGCTGGGGCGCTGCGGGGTTTGCGTGTGGGGCTGGGCCTCTGTGCTCCTATGAGCAGTACTTCGGCGCCGGCACCAGGCTCACGGTCATCGGTGAGATTTGGGCGACTCTCCCCGCGTCCCCGCCGCAGCCCCTCGGAGCCGGGAGAAGGTGCGGGTGGGCCAGGGCTGGGGCGCGCGGTCGGCTGTCGGTCCGCGGGGTCAGCCCTGCGAGGGGGCGGGGACGGGGTCCTCGCCGGCCGGGCACGAGGGCGGAGGGCCAGGGGGCTGTGGGGCTCTTTTCCTGCTCCTGAGCTATTTAGGGGCAGGGTGAGTGGGGCGCGAGAGCATTGATGAGGACGCAGAGCCGCTGGATTGGGGGACCGGACTGAAAAGGGGAAACCGGGGCTGCGGGGAGGATAGGGGCGTGTAGCTGCTATAGAGAGCGGGGACCGAGCCCGAGGGGCGGGAAAAAATCAAGGACAAGCATGGGACTGGCGGGCACCCAGCCGGGCGGGCTCCTGGGGGAGGTAGATGGAGGGGAGGCCGCTGAACAGAGGAGAAAAGGAATGAGAAACAGGAGAGGAATAGAGAGGCCAGATCAACGTGAGTCAGTGAAGGAAAGAGTCAGAACAAGCAGGGTTAGCTGATGTACTGTTTAGCATTTAAAATCATATTTAAAATCCCTGCCTTGCTCTCCTAAGCCAGAGAGCCCCCTGAGGTGTGTCTACAGCACCCATTCCTGCCCGTGGGCTGGACTGGACCCTCAGCCGCTGGGATGCATTCGCTCCCCCCCCCCCGCCCATGTCCCTCTGCCACCCAGCCTGAAATCTCGGACCTCACACGAAGTATTCCAGCGTCAACAGCCCAGGTGGTGGAGGAGGTTCAGCTGTTGCAAACGTACATTAAAATGCAGATATTTTCTTTGTGAGGTGAGGAAAATTTCCAGGAGAATCCTAAGCTCCTAGATCTGGAAAGGAACCTCAAACATCACCTGGTGAGGAGAATGTTGAGGTCAGAGAGGGGAAAAAACTCATGATACTGGTACATTAACCTGGATTATTTGATAACAATAAGCCCCATTGGTCGTTAGACTGTCATTAAGCTGGAGCCAATGGGGCTCAGCTAAACTCTGTCCAGGGGAAATGCCAGATTCCTCTGATCAGCAGGGGTGGGCATAAGACCAGACTTTAGAGCCAGATAAACCTGGGCCCCAGTCGCTGGCTCACTGATGATCAGATGACCTTGGGCAAATGAATCTGTGTGAAGTTCGGTCCCCTCTACGGTACAAGGTCATCAGCAATACCTACCACTTATCGTTGCTGTGAGGGTGACTAACAGGAGACCCTACATGTAGAGTATGCAGGGAAGGTGGATTGTTATAATTCGGCCCTTCTTGGTGGTCACTGGGGAGTGAGGGGAGAGGGTGGGCCCAGTGCCCAAGGAGGGACAGGATTTGGCATGTGGATCATGGAGGGGAGGGCTGGGTGGGCGTGAGTGGTGGATCGGGAACAGGAAAGATAAACTTCACAATTCTGCCTGAGGCCCATCCAACCCACAAACAGAGCATATACAAACAGAAGCTCACTAGTACATACACTTACACCCACATAGGCAAGCTCACCCACACCCCACAGGGACGCACAAACATGGAAGGATAAACTGACCCTGCCCTCACGCGGAGCTGTGTAGACAGGGGCTTCAGAGGGTCATGGCGTCCTGTTTGTCCTGCCCGTTGCATCCGTAAACATTGTGGGAAGCATCACACATGATTCAAAGGACATCATTAATTTTGCAGGAAGGACTGAGTGGGGGCCAGAGGGGTACATTCAGTAGTGCCCCAGGAGAGCTGGTCCAATTTCAGAGCCAGGGTCTTTGAGACAAGAGTGACGACACCAGGCTGAGCAGAGAGATCGATGGAGCTGGGCAGTACAGATGTGAGGATGTTACCACCTCTGGTAAAGTAAAGACCTAGAGACATCGTACGGGTTAGCAAGTAGGAGTTGCAGGGAGGGGAAGCTGACAGGATGGGAAGCCCAACCAGCTCAAAATGAAAATGCCAGGCTCTTGTTAAAAATTATTTAGAATTTCAAGATGGTGACAACAGCCCTTAAGCCAAGGGTGGGGCCTTTGTAAGCACAGGGTCCTGTACACGGGTCCTACACTCATGAAGCTGGACCTGGAAGTTAGGTCCCATCCAGAGAAATGTGAAGGACATTTTCTCCATCTTCCAGGCTAAACTAGAATCTCATAATCTCATAAGGAGATTTTTCATTTTAACAGAATTGCTAAGAAATGAACAATAAAAAAATCAGTGGAAAGCAAAGGAGAAGGATAAAATGAATGGAGAGCAGACTCAGAAGAAGGGAGCCAGCCAGAAGAGAGGGTGGTCTGGGCCTTCACCCAAGACTCTGCAGAGGAGAGGCTTTGGACAAAAACTGTATCAAAGCAGCTGCTAGCAAGAAGTTGCTCTGATGATCTCAGATACTTATTTAGGAAGCTGACTGGTAGAAAAAAGGTATAACATTTGGAAGCAAAGGCGCAAAGAAAGTTGACGAATCCCTGAATTTGACCTAAGGAGAGATTGCTTTCTGAGCTGAGGAACCTCAGGGGGAACCTCAAAGCGGAGGAATGGCAAGGGAGGACCTCATAAACCACAAAGAAAGTCAGAAAATCTCACATTCTCATGAGCACACCATAAAACAAAAGGGTACCCTCGCCTGAGTGCACAACAATATGCCATTTGTAGATTGTCATCTGAAGAGAATCCCCAGCCCTCAAATGACCCCCTTTGCCCAATTCCCTTTTACTCCTCAGCCTCTTCGATTTCGAAGCAATTCACCGGCTGAGGACAGAGGCTGTCTGAATGTTCATGTTACTTAACCTCCATGGCCAAATGAAGACACTGTCCCAAAGGCACACTGGTGGGCAAAGTCAGTTTTGGATTTGGATCCTATTATTCTGATTCCAATCCTGTGCTCACCCCTTGAATAACTACTACATAATATGGTGAAATGTAGACACGTAAGCCTTTTACTGATGGAAAAGAAGTCAAATAACGTCAATGAGGGGACATTACTCAGAATGTCTACAGGGTGACTGCAAAGGACAGGCAGGGCAGATGAACAATTACAGAGGGATGCGGACAGTGATGCCCAAACACACAGGACCTACTACCACATAATTCTGCTTTAAGATAGCTCCATTTCCAGCTTTATCTCTGTCTCTCTCTGTCTTTCTTTATTTCTGTCTCTGCCTCTCTCTCTCTCTCTCTCTCTCACACACACACACACACACACCAAACCCAGACAGCTCTCAGACCAGTCCTGGTCCCAACGTCTCTTCCCTTGCAGAGAACCTGGAAAAGGTCAAACCTCCCACGGTCACAGTGTTTGAACCATCAGAAGCAGAGATCTCCCGCACCCAGAAGGCCACACTCGTGTGCCTGGCCACGGGCTTCTACCCCGACCACGTGGAGCTGAGCTGGTGGGTGAACGGCAAGGAGGTCCAGAATGGGGTCAGCACAGACCCGCAGCCCTACAAGGAGCGGCCCAACGAGAATGACTCCAGCTACTGTCTGAGCAGCCGGCTGAGGGTGTCCTCTGCCTTCTGGCACAACCCTCGCAACTACTTCCGCTGCCAAGTCCAGTTCCACGGGCTCAGGGACGATGATGAGTGGGACAACGCCAGCCGGGCCAAACCCATCACCCAGAACATCAGTGACGAGATCCAGGGCAGAGCAGGTGAGCGGGGCCTGGGGGGCTGGGCGGGGAGTGAGTGAGAGCACAGAAAGGGGCGATCCAGGCAGAAGACCAGGCGGACACAGGACAGGGAGGGAAGACACAGGACACCCAGCATGAGGGTGAACGGGCACCTCGGGGCTAATTCCTCCCCAGATCCTCAGCCCAGCAGAGCCTTGCAGCTGGGGTCCCCTCACTGTCTGAGCCTGTATGGTTCAGCGCCGAGGGGGGCGCCCCCAGCCCTCTGTGCCACCCCGTTCCATGGGGTTCCGGGACGGTGCAGCTCTGCGGGCACAGCACCAGAAAGACCGTCTAGGCGTCTGCGAGAAGCCTGGTCTGAGCCTGGGGGTCCGTGCTAACCCGGAGGCTGACCTCGTGTGTTTGTGTGTGTGTTTGGTTGGTTCTTCACCGAACCACAGCTGACAATAGTGTTGCCTTAGCGTCAGGTGTGCCAACTCGGCAGCTTTCCGTCTGCTTTAGGAGACGGGGTCTCTCATCCATTCCCTCCCCCTTCTCTCTTTCAGACTGTGGCTTCACTTCGGGTACGTGACCCTCTCCTCTGCTTGGTCTCCGTCTCCCGTGGTTTTGTCCTGGAAGGCGAGCATGGAGAACCATGGGCCCCGGGGTGGGGGGTGGAGAGGCCAGAGACACCTGCTCACAGGTCCCTGTGCGCTCTCCCTTCCCGCCCGCAGTGTCCTATCAGCAGGGCATCCTGTCTGCCACCATCCTCTATGAGATCCTGCTGGGGAAGGCCACCCTGTATGCCGTGCTGGTCAGCGCCCTGGTGCTGATGGCCAAGGTAAGGAGGCGGGCAGGACGGGGCAGGCAGGCTGGAGGGAGAGGGTAGAACATCATGCATGGAACATGAGGGGATCTCAGAGCCTGACTCAGCCCTGATATATTCTATTTCTCAAGGAAAGTATAATGGGACTGCCAGACTGGGGAGAAAGTATGAGGATTGTATAGGATGCTGCATCCGAGGATGGGGAGAGTCGACCAGCTATACCGAAAATCAGGCCCAGAGTCAGGCTCTCTGAGCCCCCTCCTGCTGTTCATGGCCCCTGGGACCTTGACAATGCCCTCTCTTCCGCAGGTCAAAAGAAAGGGTTCCTGAGACCAGCTCTGAAAGTGCATCCTGAGTTGCTCATCATCCTCACCCCAGATTCTCCTTGACATGCTTCCAGTCTGCATTTCTAAAAGTTATTCTCTCTCCACCTCTTATCTCTTTCCTGATGGGATATCTGTCCCTTCTCTATGCTTCCCTGCAGACTGAGCTCCTCAACCCTGAAACTGAAATAGACTAAAACAATAAAAGTGTCTTGCCGGGCCGTGTTGTGTCTCGGGGCTATCTATGAGGTTCTATCCTTTGAAGATTTAAGGAAGGGCCCACCCCTGCAGCGTATGGAGGGACTGACCCTTCTCTCTAAGCAAGGCTGCTTGCTCCTGTTCATCCTGATGGAAGATGGGCTCCATGGTCCATACCCAGGCATTCTGGGCTCCTAGAGTGTAGGGTTAGTCTGAAGGGCAAGGAGCGAGGAGCACCTGCGTAAGGATGAGCAGAAGTGAGCCCTAACCCCACCTCAGCACGGGACCCAGGGCAGGGCAACCTCTGGGTTGGAATGCTTGGTCATTTCTCAATTCCAGACTCAGGTTTCATTTATTATGCATTCAGGTTTTTATCTGTGTCTGTTCTGAATGCCTCCATCTCATCTTGTTTTGAGATTTCAGCAGAAGATCTAGCTCTATTCTGCATACCTAAGTTAGAGTCCTAAAGAAGGCACAGAGTTGAAACTACCGTTAAGTGAAGCCCAGAGGTTTCACAGATGGGGGGCTTGCGGGGTCACACCCTGGGGAAGGCATGGGGAAGGGGCTGAGGTGTCGCACCTGAGCAGCCCTTCCCTTGATGGGGTAGAGAGCAGGCCACCCCAAATGCAGCATGTCGAGCACTTGCTGGGGCAGAGACAGCTATCTTACTGGGGTAAACTCTCCAAGCAAGTCACATTCACTGCTGTAGAACCCTGCACCGGGGGAGGGAAGGGGTGCAATCAGGGGAAAGAAGACACAGACCCACAGACCAGTGAGAGAGGCCAGAGACAGGCTCGTTTAGGCAGGAAGTCAGGGGTGAGAAGGAAGTTTGACAGCCAAGAAAGGATGGGGGAGGTGGAGTCCCTTGTTGGTGGCCTGCTCTGTTCCCGACTTGGGGCTGGGCCCTGGCACCAGTGTCATCTCCGTTCATCCCCACCACGCCCCTGGAAGCAGGTGTCCTCCCTCCTCTGTGGGTGAGGAAGCCACAGTTCACAGATCAAATGACTGGTAAGCAGTGACACAGTGGCACGTTCTCTGGAAGATGGAAATTCGGGAAGTTTGTTCCAAGTAGTGGCCAGAACGGTGTGACTGTCCCCGAGGGACCATGGAGTAGCCACCCCCAACTTCCCGTGCAGGACCCACAGGAACAGACCGAAGGGTGTATTTGTTCCTTAGCAATGCAGTGACAAAGGACCACAGATTCGATGGTTTAAAGTTCTCTCCCAGTTCTGGAGTCCAAAATCAAGGTGCAAGCAGGGCCGCACTCCCTTCAAAAGCTCTAGGGGAGAATCTTTTCTGCTTGGTGGTCCTTGGCTTGTGGCGGCATCCCTCCGACCGTGTGCCTGTCTCCACATCACCTTCCCACGTCCCTGTGCCTTGGTTTCTCCCTTATTTTTTTTCTTATCAAGATGGGAGTTATTGGATTTAGGACACACCCTGAATTCAGAAGGATTTCATCCTGGGATCCTTGACATGTGCTTCTGCAAAGACCTTGTTTCCAAATTGGGTCACTTTTGTTCTGAGGCTCGGGGTGGGCATGAAGTCTAGGGGGACACTATCCATCCCACTGCACTGAGTGTCCAGGAACTGGACGTGAGGGGTTCTCTAGACTGCCCTCCCACAGGCCAGGAAAGGACAGAGCCCAGGGCGGGGGTGGCCTGGGGAACCCATCACATGCCTGTAACTTCCCATCAGTCGTAATTATTTCTAGATTTCTCAAACTGCAGCTCAGTTTTTTTCTTTTTATTTATTTTTATAATGACTAAAAAGCCCCCCAAAGGGGACAGAGTTTAGGCCCTAGACCAGCACCCGGAAGAGCCGTGCCTCCCATGCTTTAGACACATGTGGTGTCTCCTCACAAGGGTGGGACGGGAGAGGAGCAGCTGAAGGGACAAGTAAGCTCCCCAGAGAGAAGAGGGCTTTGTGTGGACCAGAGGGGGTGGCCTGGGACAGGGCGTTGGAGGACAGGTATTTGTGGGTGCAGAGCAGTGAGGGGGCTGAGAAGGAGCAGGATGGAGATGGAGGGGGAGGTGGGGAGAAGATAACCCCGCACAGGAGGGAAACGGGGTCTGCAAGCTTGGTGATTCTCACCTGGGGCGTGCTGAGCAGGGGAATTAGCAGCTGGGAGGATGTGGGGGGAGATGCCGATGGACACCTGGGGTTTGCCAATGTGAGGGACGTGAAGAATGAAGGAATGTCCTCAGGAGGATGAATGACCCCCACCCTCCCGCTCCTGGAGACATAATAGAGCTGGAGAAAGTTACAAACATCATCTAGTCCACACTGCACACCCTGTTTGACCCAAGGAGAGCCTCCTTCCCCTTATCCTTACAGCTGTTTTCTTGTCTCCCTCAGAGAGCACCCCCCCACCTCCCCAATATTTAACTCAGAGCACTAGGAAGTTAACCTCTTCTGCCTCTGCCCCTCTTTCTGGAATCCAAGTAGGTCCTTCTGGACCGATTCTGGGCATCCCATGCATCCTTCCCCAGGTGAAACTGAGCAACAACAGGTTAGATGCAAGGTGATCATATCATGTAGTGCACGAATAGGGACACTACTGAGGGTGAAAGATGGGATTCTGGGACAAAAGAAGTGAATTAGCAGGTGCCTGGGTGGCTCAGCAGGTTAAGCAGGTCATGATCCTGGGGTCCTGGGATCGAGCCCTATGTCGGGCTCCCTGCTTAGCAGGGAGTCTGCTTCTCCCTTTGTCCCTCCCCCTTGCTCATGTATGCTCTCTCTCTCTCTCAAATAAATAAATAAAATCTTTAAAAAAAAATGAAGTGAATCAGGATTGTCCCAGCAAACTAGGACACATGGCCATTCCAATTAAAGGGGCTCCCAAAGAGTTTCTGGGTCCAGAGAATGGGAAGCATTGAAGCGATTCTTCACGGGCCTGGACCTGTCTGCCTATTCTAGTCTCAAGGCTCATCTAAACTTCATCCCATTGAAGACACCTGTGGGCAGAAGGTAGCCCAGGGGCAAACTCCATAAGTGAGACCAGTACAGGGCAAAGTGTGCTTATTGATTGAAGAGACTTAGAAGCCAGGCATCTCTAGGAGGATGCCTGGGGTCCCCAAGTTCTCACCATTCCCCAGGGCACAGCTGGACTCACCTTAGGAAGCACTCCAGGAGAGGAATCTCAACCCTGTGACCTTTAGAGATTTACTTAAAAATTAGGAGGGAAAGGGGAGCATCCAACTGGTCAGGTCATCAGGAGAACATCTTGGTAGGGGGTGAGGTTCCTGTGGGGAAGGGCTGCTCAAGCCACTGTCACTTGCCCAGAAAAATTTTCCTATCAGCTCTAGTATCTGAAAGACTCACATGCCCTCCTCCTGCGGGGCTCATGGTCAGGCTACACAGGCTGGGCAGTGGGGATGGGGGCAGAAGGTGCTGGGACCATCCAAGAGAAACACTTTTTCTCTTGTAAGTAAGTGATTAGGGAAGAAGGAGGGAGAGAAGAGAGAAAAAAAGGATTTCAGAACAAGAGAGGGTGGAAAACGAGCAATGGATCCTGATAAATCTTAATATCTCCATTTCCTGCCCTGAGGTATTTCCCTATTTTTCCTCTTCCATAGGGACCCAGGGAAGGGGAGCCTGACTGATCTCAGCCCTCACAGTCAGTGTGATACACAGCGCTAAATGTCCTGTGTAGGAGGACATTCATGAGGTCACTACTTAGGGATGGATGTGGGAACAGATGATTGGCACTTGAAACCAAAGACATGCTCAAGCCTACATGTATTTTCATTTAGGGGTGCTAGGAGACGCTAATGGGGATCAGGAATGGCTAAAACCCCCATGTCAATTCTTAGAACCACTACTGACCTATGGATGAATTGCTCTTCTGCTCACCCATTGACCTCTTGTCAAACTTTCATGACCAAGTTCACTTTTACTCTGTCCGTGAAATTACCCTGTGCCCATATAAGAAGACTTCTAGTATGGAAGGCCACCAAGCCTGGGCAACAATTTTAATTACAGTTCATTCCCATTGTTTGTGGCAGACTCCTGTAGTTACCAGAATGGTGATTTCTGGGCCTTGATACCCCATAATCTGAGATGTTATCCACCCCATCTGGGCCCCAAACACAAAGAATTTCCTGCCTCCATCCAGGGCTGGATATGTTCCCCTCCCGCCTTGGAGACTTTCTGTTCTCGAGCTATGTTTATGGATCTGAGGTCCCCGGGTTCCTTAACACACCATTCCTCTCTGCCTTCCCTTAGCATTTATTGTGACCGCACTTGGCCATATCCTGAATCATCTCCCTCCAACAGAGGACCTAGTCTCTGCTCACCACACACTCACAGTCCCGACTACATGGGGACTCTCCTCCATTTCTGTCTAGTGTCCTTATTTTTGCTGTACTTGGAGTCCTAATAGGGTTCCCTCCGTGGGGAAGATGAGGTCCCAGTGATAAATGGGTGGATCTGTACGTCAACAAGAGCCCACAGCCGTGACTATCTCCCCAGGAGCATCCTCAACCAGCTCTGAGTATCTCAGCCTGTCCTCTGTGAGTCTGAGGGGTGGTCTTCACAGGAGACTGCCCTCCGGGGCTTCCTGTGGACCTAGCGCCCTACTGCTTCCTGATCAAACACACTGACGGAAGGAAGTGCTTTTTTTAAAACAGCGACTTGAGGGTGGTCCTGGGCATGACCCTTCCTGCCCAAGTGCTAGGTCACTCCAGCAATTACAGCTGGGTCCTTTGCACCCTCATTCCCACGGTGAGACTTCGTCTTGGCTGGGTCTGGGAATTACACACACTTTCGCTGGTAGGGGTTCTTGTATCCCTCCAGTTATGCTTGACCTGTCCTGGGAACAGGGAGCTCTCCATCTGCCTGAGTAGCCGTTTCATCACCGGATGGCTCTTGTGAAGAATTCTGTCCTGTTTCCGTATCCATCAATCTCATTGTCACACCTGTCACACCCCTCATTGACCATCACGATACTCCCAGGAGAGCACTTCCTGTGTCAGCTAGCAAGCCCACCCCAGCCAAGTCTACACATCTCTGAGAGACAGAATAA